GAGGTTTCCTTGCGCCTACGGCCGTGAGCTCCTTTTCCTGCTGAAGGAGGAGGACGAGGCCACCGATTCCGTCAGACCAGGGTCCCGTTTTTGCTGTCGTACTTGAGCCGGGCCCTGGGGAAGTGGAGCGTGGCGTACTCGGTGGCGTTCTGCAGCTGCAGGCTCCTCAGCTCGGCCGCCGAGCGCTCCCGCGCCTTGGAGAACACCTGGATGTCGGCGTAGTGGATGCTCTCGTCCTGCTGCACGGCCCTGGCCTTGCTCACCGTGGCGTAGACGGGGACATCTGGGACATCTTCGTACGTGGGGACCTTTGTGAGGGGGAAAAAAGTTCTGGGAGCTCAGCTCGCCTGCAATCCCACGGCACCAGACAGACTCGGGCTGCTCCCACGTTTTCTGGGGGGTTGCTGATGGGTTTCTCTTCCTGCCAGGTCTTCTGAGCTCTCAGAGGAACCCATCACAGCCGAGATAGCCCAGCTACCCCAAGCGACATAAAATTAGCAGGATGGCTTCTGAGGTAGTGTTGCAAACACAAAAAGTTCCAATAAAAGGCGAAATAACAAAGCTCTTAGAGAGAAAAGCCAAGCCAGGGGCAAGAGGTTCTTGCTCCTGCTAAAACACCCCACAAAAGGGATTATTTCCTTTGTTCTCTTCCCTTTTCTGGTGAATTACCCAGGTAGGACCTCTTGGTCTCTGTCCAGCGGCAGCCCCAGGTCTGAGGTGAAGTCCCCAAGGTGCTATGAGGGGTCCTTGTACCAAATTTGGTACAGCTGGGTACAGTTTGGACCTCTTGGCCTCTGTCCAACTGGGCAGCCCCAGGTCTGAGGTGAAGTCCCAAACGAGAGAAATTTCTAGGCTTTTTGCCTTTTTAAGCAGACCAAGAATAATTTGGCCACTCCATCAACAGGGGGCACATTCCTACGGGCAGGGGGTAAAAAATGTAGGAAAAGCCACTTTAGAGGCTGCACAGCTGGAGAGGATTCATGGATTCATGCTCTGAACTCTGCCCTGTGTCCTCCGGCCCACGGAGCTCAGGGCAGCTCTGTCTTCTCAACACACACTTAGGGAAAAACCCTCTCAAAGTTATTTATTTACCTTCCTGCCAGGCTGCTGCTGTTGATCCTCGTGCCTCACATCAGCTCCTGCGAAGGAAACGCAAAAGGTCTCAGCTAAAAGCAGTTTATTGTTCCACCTTGGGATGCAGCAGGGCTGTGTTGCACTGGGCACAAATCAGATTTCCACCTCATCTGACTCCCTCAGCCCTAAGGCTGCCCTGATGCCTGCAAGAAGAAAGCCTGGGCTTGTTTCTTTGGGAAAAATAAGGTTTCCCAGGATGGCAGCACGCTGTGGGCCACAGAATTCTTGGCAGAAGCCACGGACACAGCACAGAGAGCTTCTTGTCAGGCCCTCGGAGGAGTCAGATCCACTTTTAACTTTGTTATTTCCTCTGCTGCCAGGCAAACATGTTTTGCCCAGCACGGTCCAAAGGCCACAGGACACAGCCTGAGGAATGCCCTTGGTTGTGGGGAGTGCTGTCAGACAGATGTTTGCAGCTCCTGCTCTGCTGGAGAGCACTCGGGTGCGCTTTGAGGTGGGACTTGGCTGTTTTAAAGGCACCGCTGAATTCCCTTCCCTCCTCCTTGGCAAATCCCGTGGCACATCACCCTCCTTGCTTTAAGATTTAAAGAAATGCTGCCTCAAACTTCTCCTGAGGAAGGCTGAGTACAGAAGGAGTGTGTGAGGCAGCCATGTCACCTCCCCAGGGGCTCTGCCACTCCAGCTCAAAGCGCCGTCACACGTCCTTACCTTGCTTCTCCTTCTTCCTTTTGAAAGGCGAAGGACACGTCCTAAAATCAGAGAGACACATCAGCCCTGAAAACCCCAAACCTCTGCCCCAGACCTGCCCAGACCTCACCGGGGGTACCAGGGAACGGGACAGGCCCTGAGTGACCCTGGCAGGGGAAATGTCCAAAGGGAAATTTGAACTCCTGGGATGTGTTTCCTCCTGAGCTCCTGGCTCAGGTGCCCAAAGGGAAGGTGTGGGATATGTTTCCTCCTGATTTCCTGCCTCAGGTGTCCAAAGGGAAGGTGTGGGATGTGTTTCCTCCTGATTTCCTGGCTCAGGTGTCCAAAGGGAAGGTGTGGGATGTGTTTCCTCCTGATTTCCTGGCTCAGGTGTCCAAAGGGAAGGTGTGGGATGTGTTTCCTCCCGATTTCCTGCCTCAGGTGTCCAAAGGGAAGGTGTGGGATGTGTTTCCTCCTGATTTCCTGGCTCAGATGTCCAAAGGGAAGATGTGGGATGTGTTTCCTCCTGATTTCCTGGCTCAAGTGTCCAAAGGGAAGGTGTGGGATGTGTTTCCTCCTCCTGGGACACCCCCACCACGCCCCACAGCCACCCCAGCTCAGCCTCCTGTGCCAGCAGCATCCCCAGGAGCGGGAGCTGCTCTCCCTGGAGCGCTGCAGCTCCGTTCCACAGCCCAGCCCCGAGGCACGGGCAGCAGGGCACCATCCCAGCTGGCACCAAGCCCTTCTCCTGGGGTCAGCCCCCCTCCCCAGCGCTGCCCCCCTTCCCAGGGAGCAGCTGTCTGACTGAGGGCTCCAGACACTTTTCCTGCTCTCAGAGTTCAGAACAGAACCAAACCAAACAAGCTTTGCCCTCGCTGCCAGCCGAGCCAAAGCCTCCTCTCAGCTGTACCTGTGTGAGCAGAGGGGCCAAGCACGGATGTGCTCCAGGAGAGGACAGGAGCCAAATTCATCCCAGCAGAGCCTGGAGCCGAGCTCTGCAGGCTGGCACTGCCAGGGGGGACTCGTGTCCCCTTCTGGGACAGATGCACGAAGGAAATGTCAGCTCGGAGGGCTGGGGAGCAGCTGCCAGCCCTTGTGTGGCCCCACGGAGCAGAGGGGCTCCCAGGGGGCTGTGGCTCTGCTCAGCAGCTCCAGAGGGCAGGCAGAGCCTTGGATGGGGCTCCAGGGAATGCTGTGAGTGCCCCGGGCTGAGCCTTGGCACAGCCAGGAGCAGAGCGGTGCCCCGGGCAGGGCTGTGCCCGTGCCAGCTCTCCCAGGCAGCTCCAGGGGCAGGGGACAGCACAGGGCGTGCAGCCGTGCCCTGGCACTCCAGCAGGAAAACAAAAACCCCCGGGAATGCAGGCAGGGAGCTCTGGAATGGCCAGCAATGATTAACCAGGCCTGGGCAGGCAGAGGCAGCTCTGGGCAAGGCAGGGTGGCCGAGGCTCCGGCGCTGCCACAGGGGCACCTCCAGCCCTCCACAGCCAAAACCTGGGGGGTTCTCCCCAGGAATTTGGGGTTTCACTCACAGCAGCACCCCTCCGTGGGGCTCTGACAGCCTCCTCCTCCTCCTCTGTCTGCAGTGTCTCCTCCTTGCCCAGGTTTGTGTGGCACAGCACTTCCCTTCCTGCCAGCGCCCAGGCGTGGAGAATTTCAACAGAACTGAACTTTTTGGGGCACTTCCAGCACCCAGGTGTGCAGGATTTCACCAGACCTGCACCTTTTGGGTACTCCCAGCACCCAGGCACGGAGGATTTCACCAGGCCAGCCCCTGTGGGGCAGAAGCAGCAGGTCTCTCCCCTCTCTGCGGGCAGACAGGCGCTGGGCTGGCATTCCAGGCTGCTCCCTCAGTGTGTGGGCTGGAGCTATTCCTGTCTGCAGGATAATCCCAGCCAGGCTGCTCCCCGGGAACGGGGACACGTGTGGCACGGGAAATGCAGCAGGGAAACCTCTCCCCTCCCCTCCAGACCGGCTCAGGCTGCTGGAGCTCCCAGCCTGACAGAATTCTCCACAGCTCCTGCACTGCTGCCTGCCCTCTCGCCGTGCCAAGGCCATCCTCATTGCTGCCCTACACAGTCCTGGGGCTGGATTTGGGCAGCTTTCCCTGTCTGTGCCACTTCAGTGCCACTTTACTGGTGAGAGCCTGGGCCTGCCTGGCACAGGGGCAGAGGAGCCCAGTCCTGAGGGCACAATTCCTTCATCAGTCACTTCCCAGACAGAATAAATTTGCTGTGGCAGCTTTTCTTTAACGACCTCAGACTGCCCCAGGCATGCCCTGGTCGAGCCCTTGCCTGCTGATGCCCTGGGTGCCTCATTTACCCTCTGCCACAGGGCAGAGGGAATGAAAAATGGGAGTTTTGGTGGGTGAGCAGCTTTCCACCTCCCACCTTCAACTCCTGTTCCTAAATCCCAAACTTCTCGAGGCTCAGGGCTTGGAAGAACCTCGGCGTCCTCAGCTCCCGAGCCTTCCTCCACTAGGTGATGCTGTGCCTCTTGGAATTATTAAAAACAGGATGAATTTCTTGTACTTTCAACAAACGCAGCGTCCGAGGAGAGAGAACTCCCTCGGAGCTTCATCTGAACTTTACGGCTCTTCCCCTGGCGGAGCTGGAAATATTCCCACTTGGCAGCGAGTGATGCCCTTTCCCTGCGAGCAGGGGGTGCAGGAGCCAGGGGGGATTAAAGCGTCACCCTCCCTCCCTTCCCGGGGAGAAAGAGCCACAGCATCTCAGAACCCTGGTCGGGATTTCCCGAGAGAAATAAAACCCAGGCAGCCAGGCAGGGAGAGGGAGGGTGAGGGGAGGACGGGGAGGGTGAGGGCAGAGAGAGGGAGGGTGAGGGCAGGGAGAGGAAGGGTGAGGACAGGATGGGATGGGTAAGGGGAGGACGGGGTGGGTGAGGGCAGGATGGGGTGGGTGAGAGCAGGATGGGGTGGGTGAGGGCAAGGAGAGGGAGGGCAAGGGCAGGACGGGGTGGGTGAGGGCAGAATGAAGTGGGTGAGGGCAGAATGGGGAGGGTGAGGGGAGGACGGGGAGGGTGAGGGCAGAATGGGGTGGGTGAGGGCAGAATGGGTTGGGTGAGGGCAGGATGGG